AATGGGATTTCACGAACGCCCTATTAGGATCTTATAGGAAATTTGGTGAGCTTTCAGAATATCACCATCCACTTATACCGATTTCCCAACCGTTTCGAAGATATTACGCAAAATGTGCAAAAAACCCAGGAAATCCCCTTATTTTGCACTATATTTTTCCTATTTTCTTCCCTTTTCCCTTTATTTTCGATAGATATGTTTATGAATTCTTTTTCCTCCTTAATTCTTCTTTACCAGCCTCTGGAAAAAAAGTTTCCACCAAAATCGTGCTCTTCTGGAGTTATCGATCAAGAAGAGCCAGCCCGGGAAATTTTACCTGTTTTTTCACTCCCCCGGTCGCCGGAGCACTCTTCCTGGCGGCTTTCGTCGAAAAACGAGCTGCTTCCTCGGCAATATTTGCCTCCGGTCGACTTCCTGGCGGTCTGCTTCGTCCTTGCCATGGCTGCTTTTCCCGCTGTTTTCAAGAGAGGGCTTCTGAAAATAAAATTGTTCGCCCCGTCAAATCGGCATATATAGGGTCCGTCGGCGGCGGAACTAGCTCCCTCAACGTGATTGGCCGAACAGGAGGAGCCATCCTTGTCGTCATCCGGCCGGGGTCTCCGCCGCGGACCACCACCCCACGGGGTTTATAAGCGAAGGGGACATGCGGGGAGCGAATTTTTTTTTTTTTTTTTTCATTGTAATACATTCAGGGTATTACATCTTCATAAAATACATTCAGGGTATTACATCTTCATTTGCATGTGCATTCCTTAATCTGCATCTTTTTGTTGCAGGAGGCTGAGGAAAAAGAGATAAAGTTGAAAAAAAAAAAAAAAAAAACGGCGAGCAGTTGCATTGCGTAGAAACGGTCCCTGTGGCTGCAAACCGTCGTCGGCACCGTACTTTGAGAGTACCACACCCCCCTCACCGCTGCTCTATTCCAGAAAGCTGCTAAAGCGTGTTTGGTGGCCCTGAAAAGGGCCGTTGGAACATGACTCGAGAGTCAGGAGTGACGACCTCGGCTCCTTAAGAGCTCTTTTCCGTCTTCTTGGGGAGAAGGACGGCCTGGATGTTGGGGAGCACACCTCCCTGAGCGATGGTCACGCCGGAGAGCAGCTTGTTCAACTCCTCGTCGTTGCGGATGGCCAATTGGAGATGACGAGGAATGATCCTGGTCTTCTTGTTGTCCCTCGCGGCGTTACCGGCCAACTCGAGGACCTCAGCGGCGAGGTACTCCATAACGGCGGCCAGGTACACGGGTGCACCGGCACCGACGCGCTCGGCGTAGTTTCCTTTCCTCAGGAGACGGTGGATCCTTCCGACCGGGAACTGGAGTCCGGCCCTCGATGAGCGGGTCTTTGCCTTCCCCTTGGCTTTGCCTCCTTTACCTCGTCCGGACATGGTTATGAAAGGTAGCTCTGTTGGAACGGGTCGCTGAAGAGTATTTCGTCCCACTCCCCTGCCGCGGCTTATATAGTCTTGAGCGGAGCTAGAGCGAGCCAATGGGATTCGGGGGCGATCACGCGCGCTGTCTGGCGGCCGGCCGAGGGACTACTATCCGCTTCAAGAGGATTTTCCCTAGCTCTTTCCCGACTTCTTTGAATTTATTTTGTTTTAGGTTAGAAAAATACATGCAATAAGGTACTTATACAAGTCAAGGAGGGTATTTGAAGGCGGTATGAAACAAACAAAGGGAGCAGCCCCCTGTTCGTGGAGACTCCACACCCTTGTGTACCTGTGTTTGAGGGAAACACAAGGGCTCTAGTCGAACTCGGCCCGGCATACCTGGAATAACCATAAAGGTTAAAAAACCTGGAGCTGTCCAGGATTCTCCCAGAGAATCAGGTAGTCCTGCGGTCATGGCCTTTGAACCCTTGTCAGCTGTCATTCGTGACAACCCATAAGAGACATTACCTCGGGATGCCTGGGTAAGAAAAAGGGTTTACCTCTTTGACTGGTGTAAGTACCTGAATAGTACATTCAAGGTATCACCGCTGAGAAAAGAAAGCCGTTTACAGTTTTGTTGGCCCTGAAAAGGGCCGTTGAAACTGGCTCGCACCAAGCGGGATTTACTTGGAGCTGGTGTACTTGGTGACCGCCTTGGTGCCCTCGGACACGGCGTGCTTGGCCAGCTCACCGGGCAGCAGCAGGCGGACGGCGGTCTGAATCTCCCTGGAGGTGATGGTCGACCTCTTGTTGTAGTGGGAGAGGCGGGAGGCTTCGGCGGCGATCCGCTCGAAGATGTCGTTGACGAAGCTGTTCATGATGCTCATAGCCTTGGAAGAGACTCCGGTGTCGGGGTGAACCTGCTTCAGCACCTTGTAGATGTAGATGGCGTAGCTCTCCTTCCTCCTGCGCTTCTTCTTCTTGTCTCCCTTGGCGATGTTCTTCTGGGCCTTGCCGGCCTTCTTGATGGCCTTTCCTGACGCTTTGGGGGGCATGTTGCTCGGTCGTACGAGAGTGACGATTTGGAATGCGCTTCATTTGGCTCTCTTTTATATGAGAAAGACCGGGCTTGTGCGAGCCAATCAGCTTTCGGACGAGCGATCGGCCTGTCACCTGGCGGCGAAATCCGGAAACAGGCGCGCGGGCGGCAGCGCGGAACCGGGCGAACGAATGCTGCCGGGGAAAACAGGGGATTTTCCCCGATTTTCATTTATTTTTTGTATTCGACTCAGGTATAGAGGTCAAGGAGGGAGGTACAAAACCTTTTCTTACCTGCTGTATTTGAAGGCGACCCGAAATGGGGCACCTTTGAACAGCAGGACTAACCAGCCGCGCCGTCCGTCGCTGGCGGGCAGAACTCGGAGGTAGGTCCCTCCAGCTATGCCGAGGGACCTCCTCCTGACAAGCTAGAAGGACCCACCTCCGAGTTCTGCCCGCCAGCGACGGACGGCGCGGCTGGTTAGTCCTGCTGTTCAAAGGTGCCCCATGTTCAAATGTGGAATCCCTCTCCCTCCCGCCGCCCCCGGTCACCCTCCCGTAGATATTTTGTGTTTGGAGTACTCGTTCCTCCGATCGTTTCCGGTCAAGATTTATTTGCCTGTTCCCCGCTTGCCCAGCGTCCCCGGCTCTGATCCCTGGGCCGGGTCTGTGAGGAGCCTCGGCGCCGAGAGGGGAGAGGTGACTGCGTGACGGCAGCCTCAAATTCGAGAAATCCGACCTGCGTCCTCGTACTTGGTCAAACTGCCGCCTTCCCCGAGCCGTTTTCCCTCGGACCGACTTCCGGGGGTCTCGACTTCTCGAGAGGAGGGTCCGAGGAACTCATTTCGCTCGGCTCCGAGGGCGCGGGTCCATTTCTCGAGCGGGGAACCCGCCGAGAGTGAGGGCTCTTCGAGCACTCGCCGAGCGCCGTGCCTCCTTGCCTTCATCCCTTGAACCCCCTTTTTCTTCTCCCTAAGCGTACGGGGCCGGCTACGGCTGTCCGATCGGATATGTCGATGTTCGGGAAGGATATCCCCCGAGTTGGAGCCCCCGGAAAGGACCTTCGGCCTTTTGAAAATCCCTCCCCGGAGGAGTTGACCGGGAGAGGCCGGCGGGACGTGGACACCCGTCAGCAACCTGACTCGCTCTCCGTTCGTTATTACGATAGATCCGCCGGGATTCTCCCACAAAATGATGAATGATACCCCTTAGTATAAGCTGATGCGAGTTTTGAAGAGACGGAAACGGAAAAGGGGGAAGATTTGAGTGGGATTCTAGTGGGACTTGATGTCGGATCGAGGGCGAGACAACGTCCTACGAATGTGTTCCCAACCGAGGCGTATCGGACATTTCCCTTTAAATAACTCAATTTTCGTTACTTCCGACTGTCTGACGACACCTGGCGGTTCGTCTGGAGGCCGGAGCGACTCGGATAAATGTGCGATAAGTAGCTTTGGACCCGATCAGTTTCATGCGGTCCCGTTGCAGTGGGACAGGCAAGTCGAGAACCCACCCTCTCGTTTATCATGTTTTCTACCCTTTACTAGCATTGCATTGTAAAATACATATATAGTAACAATTTAACTTTGAGTAATAAATGTATATGTAATAAATAATTTATAATGGATTTTAATAAAACTTATCAACAACAAATATTTAACTGTTCAACATTAAATTTTAAAAAGATAATTTATATAGGATGTCAGTTTCTCGTGGCTAAGATTGAATTGAGGTAGTAGTAAGCATGTGACAGCTCGTCCACTGTAGAAGGGCAGAGCAGGCTGAAGGTCATAGGGGAAAAATAATGTACGCAAAAGAAGAAATAAAAAAATGATTGAAAATTAACAGGAAGGTCTCGGCCCCTCCTTCCCGCCGATCTCATACTCCCCTCCTCACCAACCTCCCTTGAATGCTCCGATGTAGTATATTACACATCTTTTTTATTTTTTATTTTTTCTTCTTCTTCCTTATCGAAGGATATAATGAACAATTATTTCAGTTATTATATTAAACTACTTTACTACTGCTGTAAAAATAGTTTGAAAGTCTGAGCGCTATCGGAGTTTGAAACTTCATTATCAAAGACACCCCACTGTGAATTGAAATGGAAAAACGGACCGAAATATACAGAAAGTTTGTAATTTTTTGTTATGTAAAATTTTTTTAAAAGTTACTATTTTCTAAGATATTTACAGTTTTGTGTTTTGGCCTTGATCTAATCGAACGGTGTGGATTTCTATAAGGAACAAACCAAATTTTAACATTGATTTAAATTTAGTAAATAAACAGAAACAAGCAACGCGGTCATGTTGCTAACAAGTTTAGTAGAAAAGAAGTACATTTCGGTACTTGTGTATTTCGTTTATTTCTTGGAAAAATGTCAAATGAAATGAAATGAATAATTGTTGACATTGACATGGTACGTCTTGAAAGTGAAGGCCGAGGGGTTTTACAAAGGCTGAAGAGCCGCCTGTCCATCTCCCCTTAGAAGGATGCCGCCGGGAGTCGGTAAGTCGGCACCGGACCTCATAGTTTTCAAATATGGCACCCATTTTTCTGTAACAGCTCCGGTTTTAGAGATATAGCTAGCTGTCTGATTTTTATTAAGGATTTTAAGTGTAAAACACGTTTGATAAATCCAGAAAAATTTTTTGACCACAAAAGTTTGAAATCTTGATTTTTCTACAACATTTAACTAGAAAGTGGTTCGTGAAATTCCAATTTCGATTGGTTTACTAGAAGCTGAGAAAAGTGTTGAAATAAAATATCATCAATATATCAAAATTCTAAAAAAATCAATAAAAATTATTTTGGGGTTTCACTTGGAGAAAATTTAATGAAACTTCAAAATGCACATTCGGTTTTTTAATATGTAAGTTTTGTTTTGTAGAGAACGAGATTTTTCTTTAAAAAATTACTTTAATATAAAATTGATTCAAAATAGGATTTCCTATCGAAATACGTCATCAAAAGTACCTCATTACATTGGAAATTCCAGAGTTAGGGTCACTGGAGATGAACTGGAACGGCAGTTTCCTGATGAGAAGCTCCGTGCTCTTCTGGTAACGCCTGATCTCACGAAGAGCCACGGTCCCGGGACGGTACCTGTGGGGTTTCTTCACTCCCCCGGTCGCCGGAGCACTCTTCCTGGCGGCTTTCGTCGCGAGCTGCTTCCTCGGGGCTTTGCCTCCGGTCGACTTCCTGGCGGTCTGCTTCGTCCTTGCCATGGCTGCTTTTCCCGCTGTTTTCAAGAGAGGGCTTCTGAAAATAAAATTGTTCGCCCCGTCAAATCGGCATATATAGGGTCCGTCGGCGGCGGAACTAGCTCCCTCAACGTGATTGGCCGAACAGGAGGAGCCATCCTTGTCGTCATCCGGCCGGGGTCTCCGCCGCGGACCACCACCCCACGGGGTTTATAAGCGAAGGGGACATGCGGGGAGCGAATTTTTTTTTTTTTTTTTTTTTTTTTTTTTTCATTGTAATACATTCAGGGTATTACATCTTCATAAAATACATTCAGGGGTATTACATCTTTGCATTCCTTAATCTGCATCTTTTTGTTGCAGGAGGCTGAGGAAAAAGAGATAAAGTTGAAAAAAAAAAAAAAAAAAAAACGGCGAGCAGTTGCATTGCGTAGAAACGGTCCCTGTGGCTGCAAACCGTCGTCGGCACCGTACTTTGAGAGTACCACACCCCCTCACCGCTGCTCTATTCCAGAGCTGCTAAAGCGTGTTTGGTGGCCCTGAAAAGGGCCGTTGGAACATGACTCGAGAGTCAGGAGTGACGACCTCGGCTCCTTAAGAGCTCTTTTCCGTCTTCTTGGGGAGAAGGACGGCCTGGATGTTGGGCAGCACACCTCCCTGGGCGATGGTCACGCCGGAGAGGGCTTGTTCAACTCGTCGTTCCTGATGGCCAGCTGGAGGTGACGAGGGATGATCCTGGTCTTCTTGTTGTCCCTCGCGGCGTTACCGGCCAACTCGAGAACTTCGCAGCCAGGTATTCCATCACGGCGGCGAGGTGACGGGAGCACCGGCACCC